GTGTGTGTGTGTGTGTGTGTGTGTGTGTGTGTGTGTGTGTGTGTCAACACGTGATGTTTACATTCACTGAGACTGTGGATTTGATCCGCTCTGGAATCATCAATTCTTCTCTCACTGCTAAAATCTGAACTCATAGGGAACTCAAGCTGCAAGCGTGCTCAGTCTCTGTCTGTCTTGTCCTTCAGTTCTGGGAGTCCACGTCTCTGTCGTCTCTGGACGCGTCGGGTCTCGGCTCAGGTTCTGGCTCCAGCAGTGCCTCCTCGTCTTCAGTGTCGTCCACACCGGTCACAGCGTCCCGCTCGCACAAGCGCTCCGTCTCCGGCGTGTCCAGCTACTCGTCTCTCTCTCTGCCGCTTTACAACCAGCAGGTGGACGACTGCTGCATCATCAGAGTCAGCCTGGACGTGGACAACGGAAACATGTACAAGAGCATACTGGTGAGAATAGTGTCAAATAACGGAGAGACCGAGCAGGACGATCATCTAGATCAGAGGCTCTCATGTGGTTTTGTTTCAGATTTTACATCAAGTCCCAACACAGTACCAAAAGCGTTTCTCATATAAAAGTAAACAAAACTAGTTTAATTACCATGCGATCCATTGGTGCAAACTCTAGTTCAGGCGACTTGGATCAGGATGTGTGTGTGTGTGTGTGTGTGTGTGTGTTTCAGGTCACCAGTCAGGATAAGACTCCCACAGTCGTGAGGAAAGCCATGATCAAACACAACCTGGACCGCGAGCGAGCCGAGGATTATGAACTGGTTCAGAAAATCAGTGAGGAAAAGGGTCAGTCATCAGAATATGGTATAAAACATGCTGATGAGCTCAATTTTGATAGATTTTTGATTTGGAGACATTGAAAGTGACCTGATTTTAACGTAGGTCCTGTTATTGTGTTCCCACACAGAGCTGAAGATTCCCGACAACGCCAATGTTTTTTACGCCATGAACTCCACGGCCAACTATGACTTTGTGTTGAAGAAGAGAGGTTTCCCGAGAGCAGGCCGCACCAAACACGTGGCCAGCTCCACGCTGCCCCGAATGAAGCAGAAAGGCCTGAAGATCGCCAAGACACTCTTCTGAACCCCAAGCTCTTGTTGTGTCAGTACAGCAGCAGCTGGATGGCCAAACTCTCTCCGAGAGGCGATCTGTAAGTTTACAGTCATCCCCGAATCTCCGAGACCCGCTTCGTCTGTGGTGTCGCTAGCGCTGCTTCTGATGTCAGCTGTAGGTCCTCTTTCACCTGATGGTGTGGTCACCTGGCTGATCACGTGACCGGAAGAGACCGCACACGTTCATCAGAATGTCACACCCATCAGTGTTTTTCCTCTTCACTACCGCGGTGGTGCTCAGGCCGATGAAACTTTCTCTTCTTCTGTTTCATGCTTTAATTTCTCACACGTTCAGAGATGCCGAGTGGGTTTGTTGATAAAAGTAAGATGAAGGCGAATTCGTTTATTGCCACTACACATGATCATTCTGGAGGAGGTGGTGTTCACGTGTAAATCTGAGCGTGTGTAGTTCTAACACGAGTCTAGTATAACAGCGCAGTCGCTCACGGTGATGCTCGGCTTCAGTATCTCAGAGATCACATGTGCTCCGCTGTCTTCAGTGCTATTAGCATCGCTACTCATTCACGTAAACTACCCTTCAGCGCCCCGCATCGCATTGTTCCGGTTGCTGCACACTTCTGAAATGCAGCCATAGCTTCTGAAATTAGAATGAAATGCCAAAAGGTTTCCAGGTGTTCAGCGGTCCGGAGACATCGGAAGAAGAGAGACGCAACATGAAAAGTGAAACTGCACATAAGAAGAGAAATGAACATGAATTGTAACGAGTTTGTTTTGTTTGACCTGTAGTCCAGCGGTCGTTCATGACGGAATGCACATGCTTCACAAAGCTGCCCTGCCATAGATCCTTTATATGTGACCGTATGAGTGTGTGTGTGTGTGTGTGTGTGTGCTTGCTACGTTTTAATGTCTTTGTACGTGTGTTTGTGTCTTGTGCTTATGACGACAAAACCAAAAGGGCCAAAGATCTCTGCGCTTTCCGAAAGCGTCGCAGTCCAGTGAGGTCAGCACTGCCTGTTCAGGAAAATGCTCTCGGATCTGAGTACCACAGATATCTGGTGCCATTCGTCTTTTTCACTGTCAAAACTATATTTAAGAAAAAAAAGAAGGTTTTATTATAACTCGCCTGCTCTGGTTTTGTATCTTCTTTTGTGTAATTTTTGTACAATATGAATTGTCCTTTGTACTTTTGCCTTTCATTTGGTTTGAGTGTGTGTGTGTGTGTGTGTGTGTGTGTGTTTATTGATTTGTAAATACTTTTTGTAGCGGTGTTCACTACCGCGGTGGTGCTCAGGCCGATGAAACTTTCTCTTCTTCTGTTTCATGCTTTAATTTCTCACACGTTCAGAGATGCCGAGTGGCTTTGTTGATAAAAGTAAGATGAAGGCGAATTCGTTTATTGCCACTACACATGATCATTCTGGAGGAGGTGGTGTTCACGTGTAAATCTGAGCGTGTGTAGTTCTAACACGAGTCTAGTATAACAGCGCAGTCGCTCACGGTGATGCTCGGCTTCAGTATCTCAGAGATCACATGTGCTCCGCTGTCTTCAGTGCTATTAGCATCGCTACTCATTCACGTAAACTACCCTTCAGCGCCCCGCATCGCATTGTTCCGGTTGCTGCACACTTCTGAAATGCAGCCATAGCTTCTGAAATTAGAATGAAATGCCAAAAGGTTTCCAGGTGTTCAGCGGTCCGGAGACATCGGAAGAAGAGAGACGCAACATGAAAAGTGAAACTGCACATAAGAAGAGAAATGAACATGAATTGTAACGAGTTTGTTTTGTTTGACCTGTAGTCCAGCGGTCGTTCATGACGGAATGCACATGCTTCACAAAGCTGACCTGCCATAGATCCTTTATATGTGACCGTATGAGTGTGTGTGTGTGTGTGTGCATGTGCTTGCTACGTTTTAATGTCTTTGTACGTGTGTTTGTGTCTTGTGCTTATGACGACAAAACCAAAAGGGCCAAAGATCTCTGCGCTTTCCGAAAGCGTCGCAGTCCAGTGAGGTCAGCACTGCCTGTTCAGGAAAATGCTCTCGGATCTGAGTACCACAGATATCTGGTGCCATTCGTCTTTTTCACTGTCAAAACTATATTTAAGAAAAAAAAGAAGGTTTTATTATAACTCGCCTGCTCTGGTTTTGTATCTTCTTTTGTGTAATTTTTGTACAATATGAATTGTCCTTTGTACTTTTGCCTTTCATTTGGTTTGAGTGTGTGTGTGTGTGTGTGTGTGTTTATTGATTTGTAAATACTTTTTGTAGCATTGTACATTTAGTTTCTTCTCCATGTAATTATGAACTAATATGTAAATATGAATATATCTATGCGAAGTTTCTACCACTACAAATAAGGGATTGTATTTCTTTCAGCTCTGTTGACTTCTCTTTTCTTGGTTTAAATTTGCTATTATTTGTTTTCCTTATGATGCACTGTGTGTAATATCGGCGAAACGACTAATAAACACATGTAGTGCTCTGCATGCTGTGGTTCATGAAGAGACAGATGCAGTGCTGTGGCCAGCAGGGGGCGCTGTGGTGCTGCAGTGCTGTGGCCAGCAGGGGGCGCTGTGGTGCTGCAGTGCTGTGGCCAGCAGGGGGCGCTGTGGTGCTGCAGTGCTGTGGCCAGCAGGGGGCGCTGTGGTGCTGCAGTGCTGTGGCCAGCAGGGGGCGCTGTGGTGCTGCAGTGCTGTGGCCAGCAGGGGGCGCTGTGGTGCTGCACGCTATTAGAAATGCGCCGGTCTTGTGTTTCTCAGACAACACAGAAAGAAAAAGAAACACTGGTTCGGCTCTACTAAAGCGCTGAAATACCGTTTGTTTTGCAGCATTGAGAATAACTAATTATATCATCAGAAAACGGCATATGGAAATACTATGTCTTAAATTTATAAAAACTATGTCTTATATCCGCTATTAAATTTAAAGACCAAATGAAAAGTAGAGTTATTAAAATAGTACACGCGGTACTTTACTCCGGTCAGAATGGACCAATCAGAAGACAGATTTCATTTGTTTAATCGTTTTACAAAGTTTTTTTACACTTATATTAATGCACTTAGCAGACGCTTTTATTTACCGAAAGCAAACTCAAAGAGACACGCTTTTGGTGAGTTTCATTTACTAGTCATTAATATTAATGAACGTTTGCAGCTCGGGCTCGAAGGGGCCTTCGGGAATGTAACGTTTATTGACGTCTGCTCACATTAACCAATGAGAGGCGAGGCAGAGCGCGAGAGCCAATCAGGGGCGAGGCCGTTCCTGCGTCAGTGACGTTGCGTCAGTGCGTGCGCAGAGCTTCAGGATCAGAAGTGTGAGTGCTGCTGTTAATAACCGTGTTTACTGTAACCATCATCTGCGTGCGAGCACATCGCTTCCTCGTTAAACTGCAGGTTTGAGGTGTTTTCTCTCTGTTGTTAAGCTTGAGCAGATAATGAGCGAGACACAAGAGCAGCTCTGATCCAAGCCGGCCAGAACACTCATGTTCTTCACATTATATACATGTGTTTTAACAATAATATCACGATGCAGTCTTGGGCCTTTGTGATTTTCATGTGCTGATGTCTGAACTCTGTTGAAAGGAATAAAGGTTTGGAAAGCGTGATGATGCTGTTGTGGGGTAATCTGTTCTCGGTGTTATATTATTCGTGTCTCTTCTTCAGGATGGGTTTCCTGCTCTCTAAATCCATGGAGCAGAGCTTCCAGAAGCAGCAGGAGTTCATGCTCCTCAACACACGGCTGCAGGTGCAACACACACACACACACACACACACAAAGAATAAGCAGTGCCGCCATAACACTTGTCCAGTGTCACATGCTCCAGTTCAGTGGCATGAATTGTAAGCCCAGATAGAGCACAATTATTTCTACAGACGAGTGAAAATCGCTGGTTCAGACAAGACATCTCCATTAAAAGAAGCTGATGTCAACCTTCATTTCTTCCCTCACAAGGTCAGAAATAGATATAATAGAGATAATACATAATTCAACAGAACGGCTCTTTCATCCCCAAGTACCCAGAATCTCTTCAGACAATTTTTTTGACTTTTAAGGATGTCAAGGGCCAGAATACAAGGTATAATAGAGACCATTATCCATACTGCGCAAGCAGATTGATCCATGAGTCACAGAAAATAATAGAGAATGTTTTTTGAATGGCACAGAATAACAAGAATAGAAATAACGTCATTGTCCAACGTTGCAGGATAGTGAAAGTATTATGAATTTTCTCTACAGGTTTGTTGACAGGACTAAGAAAATATTTTACCTTATCTGACTCTTAAAAATTACCTGAGCTAGTGTTAATCTGGTTATAATATTTGTGACTAGATCAGTGTTTCACATTATATTAGAATCATCTGTTGTTTTCAACATCTAGGATGATTGTAAAGATTGGCATCATGATCCAGAGCCTCAGCGTGTGTTTTTATTACACGTTTCCGCTGATCTCCAGTTAGCCGAGAGCCACCAGCGTTTTATTGCAATCGTGTTCTGCAGGAAATGCTTGTTTTCTGATGGATCTCGGCCCGTGAGGCAGTCATCATCAGTGACAGATTATGAAGAATTCAGTAAAATATGGTTGCATTTGTTCCACAAATATCATTTCGTAAAGCTGTGATGAGGAATATGAGTCACAGCACTGAATTCACTCTCATTCCCTGCTTTTCATATTTCTTCCAACAGAATTACTTCTCCAGCTTTAGTTTTAGATCACATGAGATCACAAAATAACTGCATTTCATTGAAACATCATAATGTTCATTCCGCTGCTTGTGAGCTGTATATGTAGCTCTCTATATGTCTTCTTCATGATGTAGTTTATGTCAGTAACATAAAGCAGTGCTGCCCGTGTAAACTAGCTCATTACTGTATTTACACGATCAGATAAGCAGAGCTGCGCGGGCGATCCTGGTGTTTCTTGTATTCTCGGGGTTCGGTCAGTGCAGGTATTTCTGACCCACAGGCGCGCTCAGACGCTCATAAATACTGGTTATCACCCACAATCTAATAAACGTCCCAGAGCTCCTCCAGCACTTCCAGGAATGTCTGCTCATCTTTCTAAATATTGTTGTTAGTCATTGAACATTATATTTACTGCAGTTTTTTTTAGGATAATGAAAAATCATGATCTTTGTGCTTCAAAAATCTGAGCGCAACAGATCCAAATTACACTCTTCTCCGCTGCTTTCAAATCTCATAGTAAAATTACAGGAATTGGATTTTAAAACATGTTTTTAAATATTTATACATATATGTCAGTTTGGACTGTTGAGGTATTGTGTCATTCTGTTCAGGCGTGTGTAGTTAATGATCCTTGTTTGGTCTGTGTGTTAAAGCTCCTGAGTGATTCGTTCTGGTTTGTCCGGTTTCGTCAATGTTTGTGCTAGTGTTGGATTAAACACTTTCTAAATCTTCTTCTTCGTCGTCTTCGTGCGTGTTATACAGCGTAGCTGTGACTACACACTGCTGCTCAGAAGTTTGGGATCAGTGAGACTTGTAATGTTTTTAAAGAAGTGTCTTCTGCTCATCAATGCTGCATTTATTTGATCAAAAATACAGAAAAAACGTAATCTTGCAAAATGTTATTACAATATAAAATAATGGTTTCTATTTTAATATCCTTTAAAATCTAATTTATTTCTGTAATGCGCAGCTGAATTTCCATCATAAAAAAAGGAACAGCATTTATTCAAAATATAAATCTTTTCTAACAATATAAATCTTTGCTATCACTT